CGCTCTTCCCCATCATCCTACCTGGAGAAACCCAAGCCAGAAAGACAGGGGTGCCTCCCTCTCTCTCCCTGAGGAGCGGTGTCTGGGTACTAAGCACAGAAGGAGATGTTGGTCTTACCTCTACCTTGTTTATACAATCCTGGGATTGCCGTTTTGCTCCTGTTGGGCCCTCACTGAATGGCAGTGATAATCCCCGTCTGTAGGGTTGTTGGGAGGATGGAGGGGACGTGTAAAGTGACCGTACAGGGCCTGGTATGGAGTGACGGTGATGCCTTGCTGATGACACTGTTGTGGATGCTGCAGGTGAGGATGGAGTAGAATGAAAAAGGCATTAGAACAAGAAGGAAGGCAGGCATGCTGGTCGGACGAAGCATTGTCCAAGCTTGGAATATTCGAGAAGGTACAGGCTGATCAGGAGGTGTGTGTCCTGGCAGTGGAAAAGAAAGTACCTGGGGATGAGAGGGACCCTCATGATGTGAGGCCAGATTCTGGGCGGCCTCGATGTGAATTGAAGCAGCAGGTAATGGGAGGGGGCTATGTGAAAATGTAGGTATTATTATTATCTCGGGGGTGTGAGATGATTGCCACTGAAAAGACAGCGTTGCTCACGGTTCCCAAGGGAGAGAGGTGCACACAAGCCCACACGGAGAAGCATCTGGTGGGGGGGGGGCGGACAGCAGTACGTGGGCAAGAGCCTTTCTTGTGGTTTCCGTGGGAAGGAACAGGCAAGGCAGGGTAAGCAGGTTTAGGACTGCCTAGTTTGAAAGATTTCAGGCGGTTCCAGGGCACCGATGCCGGGCTGTTCCTGGTTGTCTGGTACCTGCCCTGGGCGATAAGGCAGGGGGACGCTGGCTAGGGGCGGCGGGGGCAGGTGAGAGCCTGATGGAGCAGGGGATGGGGTGGGGGCGGCTCCGGGCGGGTTCCATGTGAAAGGCGCACGAACAGCTGAGCTGTCTGCTATCTCTAGAAACCTGCTAACGGTGTGTGGGGGGCAGTCCCTCCAGCGTCAGGAAGGCCGCCAGATGTCAAAGCATCAGACGCAGAAACTAGAAAACGTAGTTATTACAGTGCGGGGGGCGGGGGGGCGGGAGGGGAGGTGGTCAAGGAGCCTAGACCCGGGGTCTGTAGATGCCTGAGACAGGGAAGAGTAGTGGTGCAGAGTCTGCGGCACGAACGTCAAGTTCCCGTCGGGATAAGGGCCTAAGTTCCACGGAGCAGGCAGCAGGGGCGAGCGGGCACTTAAGGAGGAGCTGAGGAGGCAGTGGGGGGCCCAGGCCCAAGAATTCCGGGCGCCCCCCGCCTGGTGCCGTCGAGGCTCCTCACCGCCCGCCCTTCCCCTCCAGGCAGGCGCCGTCGAGCGGCTGGGTAGGTGGCGCCTCCTGCTGGTCGGCTACGGCATCCGCGTCTTGGCGCTGCGCTTCCAGGTCGGACCTCGCTCTCCTGCCCGGAAGGGACGGGGCTGGGGCACGCAGAGGGGTGGGGCGGAGGGCGGGGCACGCAGGGGAGGTTGAGCACGGGGGTGAGAGGTCCCTGTATCAGAACCCACACCGCTAGGGCCAGTGATCTCAAACTCCGCGTGTCAAACTCCACGCCCCCTTCGTGTGCCATGTAGAGTTCGTGGGTGACTTCAGTTACCTACCCATGTACGTGCAAGTAAATAACTAAATCGAATGGCCTAACCAGGAAGTAAAGGAGAAACAAGGAGTTCCATAAAGCCTGTATTTCAATATGCAAATGCTTAAGCGCACACTGGAAGAAGATGTCCACCAATAATGATCTAGAGTAGAATAAAGAGACGGAAGAGCGGACGTCATTCCATTCAACAAGCAGAAGAAAATGAGAACAGAGGTCGGCGTGGACGGCAGACTACACTAGTGTGAGGATAAGTGATGACCAGGGACCAAACGTATTCGTACGTAGCAAGACAAAGAGAAAGATACCTTAACTGAAGTAGGAACTCCGCTCACAGGCCAGTCGGAAGGTTAGGATGGAGGACGAGAAGGAAGGTGAGGCGCTGGCAGATGAGCTTGCTCTGATTGATGTGTGCCCCAAGTACAAAACGGGGTAGAGCTCTCATCTTGAAATCCTAACACGTGTCAACAAGCATGTCGGTCACTACTATTAAAAATATCTTGGAGCCCAGATCAGAAAGAAGCAATGAGAGGCTATGGAGTAACCGGGAATAGTATCAGAGTAAGATTAAAACATAAAAGGCCGCCCAAACAAGAAATACATCCCTTTAATTTGTCATTTTCTTAGCATATTTTGGTTATACGTGTTATACAAAAATTTTGAAAATACTTAGGATGGCCATAGTATGAAATATTCTGAAAGCAGACAGCATTTTGTATATCCTCAGCTGTTTCTGCCCTGTTGTTGCTTTTGCAGTAACTGTGCCTTTACAATTAAAACTATACACAGGGGCTTCCCTGGTGGCGCAGTGGTTGAGAGTCCGCCTGCCGATGCAAGGGACACGGGTTCGTGGCCCGGTCCGGGAAGATCCCACATGCCGCGGAGTGGCTGGGCCCGTGAGCCATGGCCGCTGAGCCTGTGCGTCCGGAGCCTGTGCTCCGCAACGGGAGAAGCCACAACAGTGAGAAGCCCGCGTACCGCAAAAAAACAAACAAACAAACAAAAAACTATATGCAGGTGGGACTTCCCTGGCTGTCCAGTGGTTAGGACTCTGTTCTTCCACTGCAGGAGGCCCAGGTTCGATCCCTGGTCAGGAAACTAAGATCCCACATGCCGCATGGCACGGCCAAAAAAAAAAACTATGCACAGATAGAGAGTTAGTTTTCCTGGGTCTCTGCCTTATATTCGTGTTATTAAACTTTGATTTTCTCCTGTTTTAAAAAAAAAAAAAAAACTATATACAGATCTTCCTTGACTTACAATGGGGTTACATCCCCAATAAACCCATCATAAGTTGGAATATTGTAAATCAAAAATGCATTTAAGGGCTTCCCTGGTGGTGCAGTGGTTGGGAGTCCGCCTGCCAATGCAGGGGACACGGGTTTGTGCCCCGGTCCGGGAAGATCCCACATGCCGCGGACTGGCTGGGCCCGTGAGCCATGGTCGCTGAACCTGCGCATCCGGAGCCTGTGCTCCGCAACAGCAGAGGCCACAGCAGTGAGAGGCCTGCGTACCGGAAAAAAAAATGCATTTAATACACCTAACCTACTAAACATCATCGCTTAGCCCAGCCTACCTTTAATGTGGTTAGAAAACGTGCATTAGTCTATAATTGGGCAAAATCATTTAACACAAAGCCTATTTTATAATGAAGTGTTGAATGTCTCATGTAAGTTATTGAATACTGTACAGAAAGTGAAAAACAGCGTGATTGTCACTGACCTTCATGATCATGTGGCTGATGGGGAGCTGCCTGGCATCACAAGAGAGGATCGTACTGCCTATTGATAGCCCGGGGAAAAGATCAAAATTCAAAGTACAGTTTCTTATTTTTTTTATAAACTTATTTGTTTTTGGCTGCATTGGGTCTTTGTTGCTATGCTCAGGTACGGGTTCTAGGCACGCGGGCTCAGTAGTTGTGGCGATTAGTGGCATGTGGGATCTTCCTGGACCAGGGATCAAATCTGCATCCCCTACGTTAGCAGGCAGATTCTTAACGACTGCGCCACCAGGAAAGTCCCTGAAATATAGTTTCCAGTGGCTGTGTATCACTTTCCCACCATGGTAAAGTTGAAAATTTTGGACCTTCTTAAGTCAGGGGACCGTCTGTAGTTGAAAACGCAATCGTATGTGAGGATGAGAATGTGCGAAGGGATTATTCTTGTAATTCAGAGACAATGTCTTCATTCTTTGCCGTTTTTGCCAAGCTGTCCTCTCCATCATGACTTCCTTTTTAATTCCTGGGTGAGCGCAAGGACCTTCAGGGGGACGAAGCTGGCTGTGTTCAGGGAACAGCAGGGCAGGGGAGCCCGTGGAGGAACAGGCGAGGTGGAGGGTGATGATGCAGCTGTCGAGGAAAATGCTAGTTACAGGGACTTCCCTGGTGGTCCAGTGGTAAAGAATCTGCCTTACAGTGCAGGGGATGCAGGTTCGATCCCTGGTCAGGGAACTAAGATCCCACATGCTGCGGGGCTACTGAGCCCGCACACCTCAACTAGAGTCAGCGTGCCACAAACTACAGAGCCCACACACTCTGGAACCCGCGTGCCACAGATAGAGGGAAGCTCGTGCACCACAACGAATATCCCGTGTGCTACAACTAAGACCCGACGGAGTCAAAAATAAATTAAATAAATAGATAAATAATAAATAAATCTTTACCAAAAAAAAAAGGAAGTGATTTTTTTTTAAAAAAAGCTAGTTACAGTCCTGTTTTGGTTTAATCAAAGTTTCCTTTTTAAAGACCTTATTTTCTCATTTGAAAATAATCTAAGTTCTTAGAACATTTAGGGACTTAGATGAAAAGAAGTAAATAAAACTGGACATTATCTATAGAGATAGTTGCCAGTTGCCTTTTGGAGACCTTGGTGGCATCCCCGGCAACTTTTTTTCTCTCACTCTCTCCTTCCAGCCCATTGGCCAGTCCTATTGGCTCTGCCTGAAAATGTAACCAGCAGCTGCCCAGGTGGCACCAGACCCAGGATATCCCTTCCAGCTGCAGCCAACTCCTCTTTTGCTTCAAATATTGAAATGGACCCCGCCCTGCCTGCCTGCGTGAATCAGAGCTTGTCACACCTCTGCTCAGCAGCCTGGCTGGCTCTTCATCCCCAAGTCATCCATTCTAGGAGGCTGCCCCTCCCCCAGCTCATCTCTCACCTTGCCCCTTGGAGACAATTTCATTGAAGGAGTCGTTCCTGGTTCACCTCCACCGCCAGCCCTGCACAAACCCCACCTTCGTAGCGTTTTTCATAACTGTAGTGAAATAGTTACCTGCATACTTAGTTTGGTTGAGGTCTGTTCACCCTGAGTATGTGTCATCTGTTGCCCTGGTAGTGGGGAGCAGAGATAGGGGTCTGCCAGCTCTCCTGGTCTGATGCCCTTCTAGAAGGATTCTAGCAGAGAGTGCAGAATCCGGGTCCCAGCTCCATCCACTGCTGATCATTTGACTTGGGCCATTGCTTGACCCCTGAGGGACCCAGTGTCCTCTTTGTCTGTGTTCAGGCTCTCTGTGCTCTGATTCCACATTTGTAGGATTGAAACAATAATATCCTCCCTCAGAGGGGTGTCAAGGAGATTCAGTGGGTTAGCATCTGTGAAGGGCAGAAAATAAATAAGTGGTCGGCATTCCTCCTGTTATGTTTTTCTCAATCAGGTACAGCTACCGGAGGCCCCCGTTGACTGGAATGCTAGGTTCACTCCTGGTCTCATCTTCCCTCTCTTGCCCTCAGAGCCCTAGGGGCCCACGCAGGTGCTCAGAAATCCAGGTGTGGCTCCTTCCTGTGGCAGGAAGGTGAGGCCCGCATGTGGGCTTGTCTGCATGTGGGGCTCTTGGCCTCAGGCTCTTAGAGGTCCCAGGCCTGGGCCTCTCAGGCGCGGAGAGCCCTGCCTTTCCCCACAGAGCACGGTGCCTGAGCTGTCTTACCTTGGCATCATCCTACATCACAGGACATTCCATCGGGCCCAGTGAGTACCTGTATGCCCCACTGCCTTCCAGGGCCTATAGCACATAGGAGGTGCCCGGTATTTGTTGAATGAATGGATGCCCTTGATTGGTAATTCTCATGATGTTCTCTCCACCTTTTCCCCTGTTCCTACACAAGCCCCACCCACACTGGAATTCTCAGTTCAGTTTACCTCTTTCTTGAAAGGCCATTCCAGCTCACATTCATTCATTCATTCATTCATTCAACAAACATTTACTAAGTGCCAACCGGTGCCACGGCCAGGCTGGGGCCCCCCAATCTCCTGTGGCTCCCAGAGTTGCCCAGCTTCAGTTCCAGTGCCCGAGAAGGAGACGAGCCTCTGCAAAGAGGGAGCTCTTGCCAGCCAGACCCCACTGGGGGCCCCTCAGTTCACATCCAAACCCTCTGCATGCTCAATTTAGCCTCCAAGCCCACAGCCCCCCCGAGGCTCAATTGTCTTTGGTCCCCTGGCCTCCAGCTACAGTCCTGTGTTGCTTTATCCCCGTGTCCATGTGCTGGCAGCCTTGGGCCTTCACTTCCACCTTCCTTGGCGGCAGCCTCCAGACTCCAGGCTTCCCCTCCCCTGTGTGTCCTCCTGAGAATCTAACGCAGTTCCCACTGCTTGCGGAAAGACCCCTCTGACTCCTAAGACTAGAATATTCCCTGCAGAATCTTGGTTTTGAAAGAGCTGTCCATAAGCCAAAATAAAGGTATTGATCCATTGAACACACGCTGATGGAACACCTGCTGTGCCAGGCACTGGGGATGCAGCTGTGAATCAGACCGACACGGTCGTGTTGAAGGATATCTAAGTGGGATTTTCGACAGGAAGCCTTCCCGGCACACCTCCAGTATGGAGGCAGGAGGGCCTGGTGGGAGCAGTGCTGGTGTTTGTGTCAGGAGACCTGGGTTCTGGGCCATTCCGCCCCTTACTACCTGTGCGCTCCCCAAAGCAAGCCACTGTGCTTCTCTGGGCCTTGGGCTCCTCCTGGAAGACCAGGAATAATCAGCCGTGCCGGCAGATGCAGGATCAGATGGTGGACTGATTTGACATGTGAGGCCCGGCCCCAGGGGGCAGGAGGCAGGAGGCCAGGGAGGGCAGCGTGGATAACTTCCCTCACTGCTACCCCTTTGGGGCACAAAGCCCTGAGGAAGGGGCCCCCTCCTCGCCAGTTGTAGGACTTTCCCATTTGACGTCCCAGGGGCAGCTCATTCCGGGGCTCTGAATTCCTCTCCATCTTCAAGGGTCGGAAATTAACTGAGGGGAGAGAGACAGAATCTTATTTTTGTAATAAAGAATATAGATAATACGTTAATAAATAAAGAATATATAAAGTCATAGATAGACCTACTGTATATAAACGGATATACAGTATATCTGTTGTATTATAATTTCATGAGGGATGGTGATTAAGGGGGGAAAATGGCCTTAGACATTTTAGACAAGACTCCTGAATGAAAAAAGGTTGAGAAACTGCCCCAAGGCAAGGTGCCTGCCATTCCCCAGATCTACCACAGAGGGCAGCACTTCCCAGGCTCAAGCACTCATTCAGCTCTGCTCCCCCTCCCCTTGTCTGCGAATTTCAAAATGACACCACCACAGGGTGGAGCGGCCTTGATGTGACCTTGAGGCCCTCAGAGGCTCAGCTCGAAGCTCAGCTATGGGCGCACCCAGGAGGAGAGATGGGAGCTTCCTCCCTCGGCCACCCGGAACAGACTGTGCCCCTAAAGGGCCCTCCGCGCCCCTCTCCGCTCCCCTGGTCCTGAGCTCTCTGCCCCCAGGTCCCGTGCTCTCCGTGGTGAGGACCGAGATATTCCTGCAGCCCTCGCGGCCGCCTTCGCAGTGGACGGGGCCGTGTTCGGGCTCCCCACCGTCATCGTGGGCTTCGTGTTCCCGTCCATCCAGGTGAGTGGGGACATGCAGTGGGGAGCACGGGGGGGGCGGCCCCCTGCCCCCAGTTCCTGCTCCACCTTGCCTCCCCCGCCCCGCCCCAGGCAGAAGGGGCTCCGGGAAATAGGCAGGGGTGCCTCGTCTGCTAAGAACATCTGCGAATTCGACAAGGGGGGGGCGACTCTCCAAGGTCCATAAAACACACATGGCGACACTTCAGCCAAACTGTAACTACACCAGTTTCCCACCACTGAAGGGAGGCCCCACACTCAGGCGGTGACGCGTTCATTATGTAGGGGCTCTGGTCGGCCAAGTGCAAAGCGAGCTAGAGCCAGGGTGAGGGAACGATTCCCCCACGTCCACCTCCTTCCTCTGTTTCTGAAGGTGTGCAGTCAAGTCTAGAGGACATTCTGTCCCTGTTTTTAAAAGGCCGAGTCCTTTTTGATGTGAGGGCAGGACCCAGTTGTCTAGCTCTTCCACTCCTCTGGGTGTAAAGTAAAACTCGCCACTGAGAAACTCCTGTGTGACTCACAAAGGCCTCACCCAGAGCTGTCCCTGGCGTTCCTTTCTTCCTCCGTCCTCTCCTGTTTTCTTGTCTCTTGGCCTAGGAGGTCAGTGGTGCCTACAGCTTCATTACCTTTGCCAGAATCTGCCTCCTCACTGCTGTTTACATCTACATGGTCATTCCTGAGACCAAGGGCCGAACATTTTGGAGATAAAGCGAATTTTTGCCCAGAGAAACAGAATGGAGTTTCTGGAGAAGAAAGAAAAAAAATCACAGATGCTGGGCCTCACATACCATCTCTGCCTGCCAGGGAGACTTCCTTTTAGTGGCTCAACACATCCCCCAGGTGGCACATTTAAGGCTTCCTTCTCTAAGGAAGGGTCTCCCTGCCCCAGTTCTCGAGGGAGGGTGACCGCTGTGAGATTTCCGTGGCCCCAGTGACAAATGGAAGACTTTGGTCCCTGATTTAGTTAAGGAGCAGTTAGCTTCCAACGCTAACCCTGGGAGGAATGACCTAGGAGGACGGGCAGGTACGTGAGTATTGATTGGCAAGAACAGATTATCCAATTCTACATCAGCATCAAAACTCAAATGGTGGATGCACACACTTTTTTAAAGTAAAAATTTTCAAGTTCAGCATTTGATATGGAGGCTGAATCCTGATCAAAGTGTCAGAGAATCGAAGAACTAGAAACCAAGGCTCTGGATTCCATCGCCTTCCTGGGGTGGCTTCCTCTCTCTCTGTGGCTGTAGGTTGCAGGGCTAATCCTGGTCAGCGTTTACAGGTTGCAGGAGTTGTTCACTCGCATTTCTGATGGTTGATGCTGGCTGAAACTGACGCATGATCTGGGCTTTCTCATACCTTGGTAGCTGGATTCCTGCGTGTGGGGGAAGGAGAGAGGGAAACAAAATGGTATACACACTCACACCCCTAGCTTTGAACATCACATAGATAGCATCAGTTCTGCCACATTCTGTTCTTTAGAAACTAGTCACTAATTCCAGCCCACACTGAGGGTGGGTGGAATCAGACTGCAACTTTTGAACAGAGGCATGTCAAAAAATTTACAGAAATTGTTTAAAACCATCTTAAGATCTTTTTTGGGGCCCCAACATTTTTGCCTATTCTGGTCCTTCGTCAAGTAAGTTAATCTTGTTTAGCTTCAGTTTCTGCATCCCTGAGTTAAGGCTGATCATTCTTGCCTCATACAAACCAGGTGGAAACGCTTGGTAAGTTAAGCATTTTACAAATGTCAGGGGTTATTTTTATGATTACTATTATAACCTATCTGATAGCTGAGCCCCCCGGCACACTCATCCCAGAACGCAACCCCCCGCAGGCCTCGTTCTCTTTACAAGGATGTGTCCAGTGCCCTGTGGCAGTGACTGAATCTTCAGGAGGTTCAAGATGTGGCCCCAGCGGGTCCTGTGGCTCATCCAGCCTGGGGATTTCATACAGGAATTCCAGGAGCTCACCAGAGTTCTCCCCCAGAATGATGATTCCTCCCTCCTAGATCACATACCTCATCTAGAGGTCTTCTGCACCAGCCTTTCCCATGAGCCACAGATAAGCCTGTCCTGAAGCGGAAGCCCAGGTCTCATGGTGCTGGGCCCAGTTGGTGGTGCAAGAGCAAAACAATAAAGGAGACACACCCACCACAATGTTGGCCAAGTGAGCCCAGGGTCATCCAAACACATTAGCTGCCTCTGGAGTAAAACAGAAGATGGTCTGGTGCATTTGTCATTGGTGGGAGTGGACGTACAGTCTGAGCCTGGATAAACGTGACTCGCTTCTACCCAATAGAATACAGCAAGGTGATGGGATAAGAAGAGAATATTATGAACAGTTTTATGCCAGTAATTTGGCAACTCAGATGAAATAGACAAGCTCCTCAAAAGAAACTAAGTGCCAAAGGCCACACAATAAGAAATAGATAACCTGTATAGTCCTCCATCAACTAAAGAAATTGAACTCGTAGTTAAAAACCTCCCCACAAAGGAAACTCCAGGCCCAGATGGACTTACTGGTGAATTCTACCAAACATTTAAGGAAGAAATAATACCAATGTGACACAAACTCTTCCAGAAAATTAAGAGGAAGGACTACTTCTTAAATCACTTTAGAAACTATCATTACTCTGATACCAAAACCAAACTAGAGACAGAAAACTACAGACCAACACCCTCATAAGCATAGATAGGAAAATTATTAACCAACTTTAAATAGAATACAATAAAGTGTTATAAGGACAATAATATATCCTGTCCAGGTGGGATTTATTTTAAGAATGCAAGGTTGGCTTAATCCTCCCCAAGCTGATCTATAGATTCAACACAGTTCCAATCAAAATCCCAGCAGGACATCTTGGGGGCATAGAAATTGACAATTTGATTCTATGGTTTATGTGGAAATGCAAAGAAGCTAGAATTACCAAAACAACTTTGAGAAAGAGGAAGTTGGAGGACTAATATTACCCGATGTCAAAATTATTATAAAGCTACAGTAATCAAAACGGATTTAGATATAGACAACTGATTTTTGACCAAAGCAATTGAATGGTGACAGGATAGTATTTCTAACAAATGTTCTGGTGCAACTACATCCACATGCAAAAAATAAAAAAGCAGAAGAAGGACTTTTATCCATACTTCACATCATATATAAAAATTTACCCCAAATGGATGATAGGCCTAAATTAAACTAAATTAAACTTCTAGAATAGAACATAAGAGATAAATATTTGTGAGCTTGAGTTGCACAAAACAACACCCAAAGCACAATCCATACAAGAAAATGTTGATAAATTGGACTTGGACAAAATTAAGAATTTCTGCTATTTGTAAGGCACTGTTATGAAAATGAAGAGACAAGCCACGACTGGCACAAAGTATTTGCAAATCATATCTCTGAGAAAGACTTGTATCTAGAAGTATAATGTATAAAGAACTCTCAAAACTCAATAATAAGAAAACAACTCCATTTTTTAAATGGGCAGAAGATTTGAATAAACATTTCCCCAAAGAAGGCATGTATGGTAAGTGAGCACATGAAAAGATGCTTAAATTATTAGTAATTAGGGAAATGCAAATTAAAACCACAATGAGATACCTCTACCTACCTCTTAGAATGCCGAAAATTAAAAAGACCAGCGACATCAAGTATTGACAGGGATGTGGAGAAACTCTTGCTGGTACACTGCTGTTAGGAATGCAAATGGTAGAGCTACCTTCAAAGACAGTTTGCCAGTCTCTTCCAAAGTTAAACATACATCTACCATATGATCCAGCATTCCCTCCTAGGTATTTACCCAAAGAAATTAAAGCATATGTCCATATGTCCATACAAAGGCTTGTACACAAATGTGCATAGCAGGTTTATTTGTAATGGCCCCAAACTGGACACAGTATCAAAGTGCATCCCTAGGTGAATGGATAAACAAACTGTGGTATATCCACACAATCGAATACTATGCAGCAATAAAAAGATATGACTGTTGACACAAGCTACAGTATGCATGAATCTCAAAGTAATTCTGCTGAATGAAAGAAGCCAGACAAAAAAGTATATACTATATTATTTCAATTATGTAAAATTGTAGGAAATGCAAACTAATCTATAGTGTGACAGAAAACAGATCAGTGGTTGCTTGGGAGAAATTTTGGAATGATGGAAATGTTCACTATCTTCACTGTGGGGATAATATCATGGATGTGTACAGATGTCAAAACATCAAATTGTGCATTTTAAATAAGAAATAAAATGGCTAATAAAAACATTTTCAAAATTCACATTAGTAAACCATGCTGTCTCTTGGAGATTGTGCATGTGATGGGGAGTTGTGTAACCTTGAAAATCAGGAGGTCTAAAGTCCACTTTGCCATAGACATCCTGACCCTAAAGCAAGTCCTTGAATTCCTTGGGATTTCTTCCCCTTGTCAGCTGCACGGGAACAGCAACCCCTCTGTTGTCTACCCCATGGAGATGGATCAGCCTTTGAGAGCAAAGTCTTGACCATACTCAGCACTTCTAGCAGGTGTTCAATAAATGCTTGTTGACTGGGTTTAATTCGAGGTCAGGTGACCCATGGCTCCAAGTTGTAACAGCTGCAGCCTCTCCCCGTGCAGCCTCATCCGTGTTGTTCTGAGCTTTGGGGTTCAGACCGAGTCAGTCCACGTGCCCCTGACTTGTGTCTTGTTTGAGAATGAAGAATAGTTCTTATACTTTGCTTGGTTCACACAGACTCACTAATCTTTACACGGAAGCCCAGTTGCTGCCAAGACGTGACTCTGCAGATAAGGAGGGATGTCCAGATCAAGGTTCCCAGGAAGGAAGGGAGTGAGCCAAGTTTTCAGGGTGAGGCCCCACGGAATCCCATATGGCCAGATCTCACTCTTTGGAATTCACAGTTACACTTGGACTTGATGTGCATGGTTGGCAGTTTGTAGGGAGGAGTGGGAAGTCCTCTAAAGAAAACTAGCTCTTAAAGAACCATAGCAGTTCAGTTTTCATGCATAAAAGAAAATACTGGGGAATTCCCTGGTGGTCCAGTGGTTAGGACCCTGAGCTCTCATTGCCGAGAGCCGGGGTTCAATCCCCGGTCAGGGAACTAAGATCCCACAAATGGCAAGGCTCAGCCAAACAAACAAACAAAAACAAACAAAAACACAAAGAAAATATTGGCAATTGAAAATTAATTATGTATTAAAGCAGGACTCATAGGACCTCTTCTCATAGATACTTGATTAACAATTAATTTGCCATTCGTTGTATACTTGAATGAAGGAAACATTCACTGTATTGCAATTCTGCCATAATCCAGGCTTTTTTGTAATTCACACTGTGCTGTTCTCAGCTATACCAAGAGTGCCTGGACTGTTCTAGAAGCTTGGCCTCCACTTCCTTGTCTGAACCCAGAATCACAGAACTTCAGTGGTAGAGGAACCAGAGATGGGTCCCATCACCTCCATCATTTTGCAGATGAGGACCCTGAGCCCAGGAGGTGTGGGGTGGAGCCATCCTTGTGCTAGTGGGATCGGAGTTTGCCTGAGGCGAACACGGCTCCTGGTCATCAGAAAGAGCTGGCTGTTTGCACGGCTAGCAAGGTTTGGGCTCTAGCAGTCCCCCAAGGTTCTCCTCAAGATGTGGAGCCAGGTGGCCACTAGAAAACCCACTCAGCAGAGATTTCTTCTAGACCCCCACTCACCCACCCCCATCTTCTGGCATCAGAGCCTCCTAGGTTGTCTGTCTGGACCAGATTTTCAGGTACTCCCCCTGCCTCTTGATAAGATCTTGGATTTCAACACTGAAAGGGGCCTTAGCTGTCTC